TAGTTTTAGTATAAGATCTTGTAGCGTATTCTGTAAGCGAATAATTTTTTTAACCTACCATTTTGTTTCACCCTTACACCTAAGTTTTCATAACCAAGTTCCCAATCGTAGAGGTCGGTGAAAGTAATATTATGCCTAAAATGTATTTAATGGAAAGATATTGCCAGTTAATAGCGATATATATAATTAAAAAGCTAATTAAGGATGTGCCAATGATTAACTTAAAAGATGGTATAATGATCCGTATCATTTCCCAATATTACCAAGCGAAAAATGATACGTCTCAATTTCTTGTGTCACTTATGATCTTTGATACGCTTAGACACGTAAATCAAACTGCATTTTCAAGTAAACTAATTAAAGCAATATAAAAGAGCAAAATAAGTGCATCAATTAGCGTTAGTAAAAATTAACGCACTGTACCTGACGAGAATGCTTTTCAATGAGTTTTCTAGGAATTCATAGTTTGGTTCGTCTGGATATCCGAGAGTTTGAAGATGAGCAGCAAAATCATGAAGTTCTCTCGGACAGCCTTCCAATAAACGATCAAAATTAATTTCTTCTTTCATGCGTCCAACCTCATCCTTGTCCTAAAATTTCAATGCGTGTAAGCTTCAGACAAGATATCTTTGATAATTAAGGGAGAGCTTGTCAGACAAGCGAGTTTATAAAAATAACTTCGTACGTCATGAGTTAAAGAACTTTCCATTCATTGAACTGAGTCAATTGTTGACAACTTAGAATAAATGAAGTTAAATACTTTTTTATTGAATTGTGAGACGCTAAGAACACCTTTTTACACACATTTAAATAAGTTCATACACATAAGTTGTGTAAAACGTTAAAAAATGGGCGCATAGGAGACACCCTACTCAAGAATTTTGTTGCTCAAAACTTTCTACTTCAATAAAGAGGCAGCTTGTAATTATAAGATTTGTTTTTTTTTTGACAAATCTAGCGTGCAGCTTATTAAAATATTCAAAATATCTGAAATTATATGTATTTTGCTTAGAACAGATATTTTTTGGCTCTAATCTAACAATTCTCAAATTTTCAACGAAACTACGATAGTTCATTGAGACATGAGAATGTCCGACAAATGATCAATCACCTTTATCCTTCGCCATGGCAAAGAACCTTGCAAAAATTCGACGAGCATATAGAATAACGACCATAAATCGTCTTGCCTACCCATTTCCTGTAAATGATACAAAATTCACCGGAATCATTAACCTTCGGCTGTTGTTTTTTCCCATCTCTAGCTTCTGCTGATTTGGTTCAAAAAAAAGCGAATTCTTTATCTTGTCCATCTTTAAAAGAACAAGACTTTCTTACCTGTTGTGCTGCATCTCTAATCTATGTTCTTCCTCAGAAGAAATAAGACCCTTTAAGAAGTTCATTAGTAACAGTTCATTAGTAACCCAGTGCCATCCTAAAGTCTGTTTTTCAACAACATTTCTATCTACACCAACAAAATCCAGGATTTAAGCGGTGACGTCCACAAAACTTAAACATTTAATCAGCATTTTGAAAGAAACAAGTAAAGTGGTTGGCAGATGTAGCTAAAAAACTAGAGCCGAAATGCACAATTGCAGAGGAAAAGTCATCAGTTACCACTTTTGTCATTATGGCTTGACAGCTTTTTTGCTTAGTTTTCTGCCAAACATTTTTTGGATCACAGTGGTTTAGCATATAAGCCTTTTCTTTGCGTCGACACACTTAGATAACTTTAGAATAGAAAATAGAAAATCACATCCCTTCTATAACTCTTACATATCCGAACTCTTCCAATTTTACCTCGCCTATGCTTCTTTTTTAAAAACTTTTCTTCCCCCTTCAATTCTAAAAACCTGCTTTTGTATTAAATAATTACATGTTAAGCACGTTAAATTCGAGTAACAGATTACCTTATTTCGATGTGCAGATACTGCAGCGTATCGAACTGTCCCCCTAAAACCAGCGGCACTTCTTGGGCTTCTAATTTCATTTTTAGCGTTCAGATACTGACGAGCTAGACCAAAATCGAGCATATAGACATTCTTCATTGTTGAAAGTGTTCTACCCATAGCAAAATTAGACTGAAAAAAATTAAATTTTTGAAGGGAACCATCAACTTTGACCAAAAAACTGAAAAACAGTAGACGCACCAAATAAATTAAAGTTCAAAACCAAGTTTTTGAGTAAAAAAAGTTATTAATTTTGAAAAAAAAACAAAAAAAAAACACTTATTTCAAAGAATGATGAAATATTTTTTAAACTGACCGGTTTAATGTCGCGATGAAGAAAACCAATAGAATGAATTTCATGTATAGCGTTTAGTATTTGAAGTCCTAGGCGAATTGCCGTTGATACAGAGAATGACTGTTTTGGAGATTCTCGTCGAAGATCAGCCAAATTTTTACCTTGTAAACTCATAACCAAATAATTAAACCTATCGTTGCGACCACAACCATAAAATTTACAAGCATGAGCTTTGCCTAAAAAATAAAATTTTGTTGAAATTTTGTTTTCATTTTTGTTTAAAATTGTTGAAAAACTGTCATTTTTTTGTACACATATATATATATATATATATATATATATATAT